TGGCTATAGCTGATAATCAGAATATCATTGTCTAGTAGGTGGGAAAGATTAGCAGATACCCAAGTTAAAATTTTCATGTCTAGTAAGGAGAGAGGTATGGGGAGACAGATATTGTTTCGACTAGGAAACCATAAGGAAGATAGTAACAATATAAAAATAATTTTATATGCATCCAATCAATAACAATTAGGTGATATAAGAATAAGGTTTGAGCAGCATCAATTTGTGAGCATACAGGCCTTGTTAATGTCTTGGGATGGCTGTCTACCTCTACTGTAGTCAGTGGCTTCTCATCTTTGAGATGAAGGCAAGTGTCAAAGACAGGGGCGATGTCCATTCATGGTTAAGTACCTGATAAGGTAAGGTACCGTTAACATTTTTGGAGAGAGTTTTTCATTAATGTACTTCCCAATGGACAAGAATCTCCTGGTTGTCGTGGTCTTTGAAATTTTTTTTTCTCCTGGGAGTACTGTGAATTGAATGTTACTATAATAATTTATTAGTTTTTATAATGCAAAATGTCTGATTTTTGGTTTTCCTTATATTTGGGAAACAAAAGATTTAAAAATCAACAATATTTTAAACAGACATAAGAATAATTATTCTCAAGTTAGTTCCATAACTATCTCGATAATTTGCCAGTGTTTTTTTTTTTTTTAATTCACTTATTCCTTGAAGTTCTATAAATCTTCATCCAGTTCAAAGATATGACCTTCTTATAAGCATGCAATTTAGAGTAGGTCTGCCGAAACTGATTTGGCTCAGTGGATAGAGCATCAGCCAGCGGACTGAAAGGTCCCGGTTCGATTCCAGTAAAGGCATGTACCTTAGTTGCGGGTATATCCCCAGTAGAAGGTGTGCAAGAGGCAGCTGATCAATGATTCTCTCTCATCGATGTTTCTAACTCTCTATCCCTTTCTCTTCCTCTCTGTAAAAAATCAATGAAATATATTTAGAGTAGGTCAGAGTCCTTTCCATGGATTTTTCTAAAGATATAATATACCTGCAAATGCATCAGAGTAAAACAATGAATATCCATGAATGATAAAACTTAAAAATGGCATGGTTATAGATTTGATTACAATGCAATTGATAAAAAAACTTTGCTTTTCTTTAAGATATAACATTCAAAGACAACAATTTATTGGTAAATAATAATTACTATAAAAAGAAATAGAGAATAATATAAAATCTGTGTGTATATATATATATATTTAGATTCAATATATAATTTCAGCATATAAAAATAAATAATATGTAAGATTTTAAAATGTGGCACATCTCTTTTTGAAAGGGTGTATTGAGCACTGAAAATAATTCATAAACTCCCAATATATGAAGCATAAATACCCAGAGTATCACTGGGGAATCATCACTCGTGGCTTGCCTGGTGTTTCTGATTGGACACCTGCTATCCCTGAGACTTTTCTTGTATGAACTTGGCTCTGAATCTTTGCACGTTCTTTTCTGAAGTAGACTGAAAGTTCTATAACATTCATTTTAACAAAACATGTATATAAATAGAACATAGTTATTAATTTTATTTGACAAAGCTTCCCACATAATTAATAGCCCTCAACCCATACCCTACCATTTTTCATCTTCTTCTCCATATTTTATATCCTTTATCACTTGTTTGACATTTTATTTCATTGCATATTTACTTGATTACTTGTTTATTGTTTATCTTCCCCACTAGAATGTTAGCTTCAGTAGGGCAAGGACTGTGGCCATCTCATTCACTATTGAAGCCCCAGTAGTTAGAAGAGTATCTGGCATATGATGAGAGCTTAGTAAATATTTGTCTAATGAATAAGTGAAATCTATAAAGGGATAAATCAAGATCCACAAAGGAGAACAGGTTTGTCTCAGATCACACAGTCAGTCAGTGCTTCAGACAGGACTAGATCCCATGTCCCTCTCATTCTCTCCTGACTTCCAGGACAGTGCTTAGCTCAAAAACCACTCTGCTGATTTGGGGGCCAGGAAACTGAAGAGGGGCATTGGATTTGGTGGCTACAGTGAATGTCAATCACTACAGCTTTGAGAAGGCCTGTTTGCCTTGTATAGAGGAGAGCTATGGCTTTAGCCATAAACAGCCCCTTAGCCAGATAGCACCCCCCACAGTGGTCTAGGGGACTGGGTGAGAGCATGGATGATGACCACTGGTGGAGACATTCCTGCTAACAGCAGATGGGATAGCAAAAGTAGCCTGGGATTGTTTATTATTATTCTCTCTATACGACTCCTTGTGAGAAGCTGTTGAGTATGAGAGTTACATATTCAGGTCCAGGAGCCAGTCAGCCAGAATTAGAAAGCAGACTCTACTACTTGCCACTTGTATGACCCCAGGTAGACATCTCTGAACTCCCTCTATTTCCTCATCTCTATCTACCATACATGGTTACTACGAGGGTTAAATGAGGTAATCCATGAAAATTGTTTAGAGGGGTGTCTGGTACAAAGTAATGCATGTGATCCATGACTGTGGTTATTTTATTATAATTCATTATTATACTTCCTTGTTATTATTGCTTTATTGTGGGGAAGCATGGGACTTGGTTGGAAGGTCTGTAGGAGCAATCTCCGAAAGGTCGGGGCCTCTCGAGGGACCTTGATGAAGGCAGCAGACCCTACCTAGACTTTTCCAAACAAGTCTGAGCCCCCGGGATGTTTTACTGGGATCTTTATGTTTAGACTTCAAAATGTCCTTACTTGAAGGACGCATGTGTTTTCTCAAGGATGCTTACATTACTGATAGTATCTAATAGTTAATTTTAGTTCAAGATGTGGGATGAAAGGGAGAGATCAACCAAAGGATTTATGTGCACACATAAGAGTCTAACCAGTGGTCAAGGACAATAGGGGGGTGGGGGCATAAGTGAGGGGGGTGGGGGATTAGAATGGGGGTTGAGAACAATTATGTGATACCTTAATCAATAAAGAAATTAATAAAATAAAATAAATAAAATAAAATAAATTTTAAAAAAGATGTTGTTACAATAAAAGCCTAAGGAGTCAGGCAAACAGGGCTATTTGCTCCTATAGCCAAGCAGTCTCTTAGCCTTTCTTTCACAGAAACATATGTGGGAGTAATTCATTCATCCATTGCTCAGGGTCTGCCAGTCAGTCTAATAAAATAACATTTATTGAGAATAATTTCCACCAAGCTGCACTAAATGCTTTAACTTTTAAATTTAAACCTCCCACCAAGGTAGGTGCTATGATTTTCTGGCTGTGGAGGGAGAGCGCATAAGCTCAGAAGAGGGAACACTGCTCTGCTCTAACTCTTTATATTACTCTCCTGTCACATGCAGGGGACTTCCCCTTATAAGCCTCGAGCCAGTTGGAAGTGGGTGAAAAGGAACCATTGCCTTGCTGCTGGCTGACTACCATCCTGATGGAGCCACAAAATGGGCTAGATAAAAGGGGAGAGATCAGCTATAGCAACCTCCCCAGGATACAAATGGGAAAAGTGAGGGTCACAGAATAACTTTTAAGTTGAACTGGAGGGATACTTACAGATCCACCTCCCTCTGGACAAATCTCTGAAGCACTGATGAGGAAAGTCCTCAAAGATAGGCACAGGTGTGTTCAAAGCAAGCTTCAGACCTTCTAGGGTTCCAGCATTTGGTCCTTTGATCATCTCAGGTCTCTTAAAGGGAAGTGAGGCTAGGAGGAGTAAGTTATTCTGGGCCCTGTGATGACATGTGCCTCCAGAGACCCAAGCCTGGCCTTTTGCCATGGGGTCTCTGGGAGCCTTCTGGCTGCCAGCCATGGCACTCTGCCTTTGGAGCCTTGAGAGAGGAGGAATCACTACTTAATGGCTTCCTGCCCAGAAAGTCTCTAGAACTGCTTGCTGCTAACTATACTAAAAGAACAGAGTTCAATGCATCCATAGTGTCAGGTTCAGATAGCAGGCTACACTTCTGGATCTGGAGAGGTTTGAGGATGGGAGTGACTGAAGGAGGTAAGACACCATCTCATCAGAAGATGTTCACAAAAGGACATACACCTAGGTTATCTGAGCTAGGAGAGTGCTGTGATGCCCCGAGTCAGGGGGAATGGAAGAAATGGCCTTTGAAAACTCAGATTCTCACTGGGGCATTACCTGATTTCCTATGGATTCCCAGGACAGCACAGGAGTTCTGAGTGGAGTTGTGATTATTGGCCAGAATGGAGATTTTTCCCAACTTACTCTGTTCTTAACCCCATACTTGAGTCACACAATAATAGACTTGAGACTTAGAGACTTGCGACCCCACGTCTCATTATATAGCCAGGAAAGCTGAGGCCCAGAAAGGGAGGGGAATCCTGGAGGTGCCAAAGTGAATTGTGATTCCTGACTTTAGTGCAGGACTAGAGAATGACCCCTTAACCCAGGGCCCAGAACTTCCAGTTTGAGAAAGTTTCCTAAGGCTACAGCTTTTCCCTATCCACCAACTGCCTTCACACCTACCTGGGGCTCTCCTCCCTGGGCCTTTTCCTTGGCACTTTTTTTCACAGCCCCTGTGTGGTCTTGGTTGTAACCACAGTTCCCCAAGGAGAACTGGTGTATCACTGGGCAGGAGAAAAGCAAGGAAGCATGCATGAATGCAGTTGTTGGGACTGGCTGATGAGCATGCAGGCGGGCTGGACATTCCAAGCTTGGAAACTGTAATGTTCAGGGAATTTCAGTTGTCATTGCTGTCCAGTCCCAGCCAAATGGTTAACAGTGCCCAGTTTGAATCAGTGACCCGCCTCCTGGTCCCTCCTCCGTAGCCAGCCTCTTCTTTCCCCCCTTTCTTTCCTTCCTCCCTCCCTCAGCTTGGGAGGCGCTTGGAGTGGAGGCAAGCTGAGCTCAGGATAGCCGCTGCTCTCCACTTCTCCCCTCTCTGTGCAGTGCTGGCTGATGGAGCACTCACCAAACCCCTGGTCCCCTGTAGCTTAGTCCCCAGAGAGGAAGAGGCCTGTTCCCAGCAGAACTCAACCGAGGCCCTGCCAGCTTCCCGTACCCCACTATGCCTCTGCTGGATGTTTTCTGGGCTTGTTTCAGGAAAGTGATGGTAAGTGGCTTCCCAGCCCCAGCCCACCCACTGATCTGGGGATAAAGAGGCAGCTGGGGACAACTGCATGCTGGCTGGAAGACAGATGGGCTTCTGAGACTACCTTGACACTACCTTGAGTTCAAGTCTTACCATTGTCATTTAATCAGATCTGTGATCTTTTGCAGCTTTCCCAGGAAAATGAGTAAGCTAGCTGGCTCTTTTTCATAAAACTTGTCTTTTTGCTTCCTTGGCCTTACCACTTAAGGCAATATCTTAACGATTTTGAGCCCCCTGCTCCCGGTTGCCTCAGTTTTAAAATGAAGACAATAGCTATACCAACTTTATAGGGTGAAGAGATTGGTGTTATTATTGGTATATTAAATGTTTACAAATATAAGCAGTAATGTGTGTAAGGTTCCTAATGTGATAACTGGTATGTAGCATCCATAATGGTAACTATTATTATGATTACTATTACTGATTTGCATCAACATTTATCAAACACATTTTCTGTGTTTGGCACCATAGGAGTTACCTGCAGGCACAAAGGTACATAGCTTCTGTCCAAAGAAAAGGGATCCTTACAGATCCACACCCCTCCGGACAAATCTCTGAAAATCACTATTAACATTTTAGTGTATTTCTTTCGGTTTTTTTCCATCTACAATTAATTCTTTATCTTTCAAAGCTGTGATTGTCCACTATGCATATATTACACTGAGTGGCCAGATTATTATGCTCTCTGAACGCATAATAATTTGGCCACTCAGTATATATATATAAAAGTGACAAATATTTATCAGGCACCTATTATATGCCAGACTCTATGCTAGATAGTCAGTTAAATATTTGCTATATCCTGGACTCAGGGAGCACAGTAGCACGTTAGGACCCACAGGCTGTTTAGGGCATGATTTTTGCTCTGAAGAACCAAGGAACTGATATTTATTTAGTATCCTTTATGTACCAGACATAGGCACTTTTCCCCCCCATTTTGGGGGATTGGTTCTTTAAAATGATTTTTTTCATTAAAATAGTTGTATCTACCTGGCTTAGTTGGTTGGAGCATCATTCCATACACCAAAAGGTGGTGGGTTTGATTCATGGTCAAGACAGAGGTTTCGAGTTTGAACCCCAGTTGGGGCACGTTGAAGAGGCAACCGATCTATGCTATGTTTCTCTCTTGTATCTCTCTTGTATCTCTCTTCTCTCTCTCTCTCTCTCTCTCTCTCTCTCTCTCTCTCTCTCTCTCTCCCTCCCCCTCACTCTCCCTCTCCCTTTCTCTAAAATCAATTAAAATAAAAAAATAGTTGCATCTTCTTACTGAGACAACATTGAAAATAGAGAACTAGAGGGGAAAAAATAACTACCATCATTATTTTCAATACCCAAGAAAATCACTATTGAAATTGGGAATCAAAAGAACTGTTGGCCCAGAAAGGAACTCACTACAGACTGATTCATTTGCCTCTCAGCATAACCATTATGGCTTGATGCAGTTTAGGTTCTTACAAGGGTATTTCTTGGATCACATGATCTCACACATCTAGAGGAAATAATAAACAACATAAACAGACCCAGAGAAAGAGAACCAGCGATCAGACTCTCAAACCTCAGAGGGAACGTAAGAGAGGAGGGGGGTAAGGGGAAGAGATCAACCTAAGGACTTATGTGCATACATATGGGCCTAGCCAGTGGCCATGGACAACGAGGGTTGGGGGGGGGGTTGGGATGGGAATGGGGGAATAAGGACAATTATGTGAGACCATAATCAATAAAAAGAAAAAAAAAAAAAAGAAAATCACTATTAACATTTTAGTGTATTTCTTTCAGGTTTTTTTTTTTTTTTCATCTACGTTCTTTCTTCATCTTTCAAAGCTGTGATTCTCCACTGTGCATATATTACACGGAATGGCCAGATTATTATGATCTCTGAACTCAAAATAATCTGGCCACTCAGTATATATATTAGAGACCCAAGGCATGAATTCATGCATGGGTGGGTGGGTGGGGTCCGGCCAGCTTGGCCAGGAGGAGGGGACATGGGTGGTTGGCAGGCCTGCCTGCTGGTCGAACTCTTGGTTGAGGGGACAATTTGCATATTAGCCATTTATTATATAGGATATACACTGAGTGGCCAGATTAATATGTGTTCAGAGATCATAATAATCTGGCCACTCAGTGTATTTTGAAGGCAAATTTTAATTTTAAATATTATAAAATAGACAAAATGAATGTATTAAACTACAGAGTAGACTTTGGACAAGAAGCAAACTGGGAAGCGATAAAATAAATTTTTTTTTTGTATTCTATAACTCATTTTATTATTAGAAGCTTTATTACCAGAAATAGGATTGCTAGAAGACTGGATGGGGAGAACAATGATTATTTGGGGCCCTCTATATGCCACGCACTGTGCTAAGTGATCTGTGTGTGCCATTTCATTTTACCTCACACAACACCCCAATGACAGGCTAGAAAACTTAGTCATGAGAGTCCCAGACACATGCCCAGAAGAGTAGGAATTTAAACCCAGATCTTTCATAATTCCTCTTAACCAGACATCCACTTGTCATGACAAGGGTTTGTTGAGGATCAGTTGTTTCCCACAGAAATTTTTTTTTCTTTATATGTATATTTATTGTAGACAGAATTAGAGATGTCTCCCATTTCCCCCTCTTTACCTCTTTCTACCCAGCCTCTACTCCCCACCCCCAGGTCTTCACCACCCTATTGCCCATGTCCATGGGCTATGCACATAAGTACATAAATTCTTTGGTTTCTATCTCTCATCTGCCCACCCCTACATTGAGGTATGTCATTCTGTCCCATGCCTCCATGCTTCGGGTCTTATTTTGTCAGCCAATTTATTTTGTTCATTATATTCCATAAATAAGTGAGATCATTTGTTTTTCTCAGATTTGCTTATTTCACTTAGCATAATAGTCTCCAGGTTCATCGGTGGTGCACCAAAGTTAAGTGATCCCTCTTTTTTATAGATGCATAGTATTCCATTGTGTAAATGTCCCACAGCTTTTGTATCCAATCATCTACTGATGGGCACTTGGGCTGTTTCCAAATCTTAACTATTGTAAATAACGCTGTCATAAATAAAGGGGTTCACATATTTTCTGATTGGTGTTTCAGAGTTTATAGGATATATTCCCAGAAGTGGGATTGGTGGGTCAAAAGGCAGTTCCATTTTTAATTTTTTGATGAAACTCCATATTGTTTTCCACAGTGGCTACACCAATCTATATTCCTACCAGCAGTGTACTAGAGTTCCCTTTTCTCCCCAACCTCACCAGCACTTTTTATTTGTTAACTTAATTTATTGATGGTAACCATTCTGACAGGTGTGAGCTGATATCTCATTGTGGTTTTAATTTGCATCTCTCTGATGATTAGTGATTTTGGGCATTTTTTATATGTCTCTTGGTGATTTGTATGTCTTCTTTAGAGAAGTATCTATTTAGGTCTTTTGCCCATTTTTTAATTGGATTGTTTGTCTTCCTCTTGTTGAGTTCTATGAGCTCCTTATATATTTTGGAGATTAACTCCTTATCAGATGTATCATTAGCAAATATGTTCTCCTAGATAGTGGGTGCCCTTTTCATTTTGATGGTGGTTTCTTTTGCTGTGCAAAAGCTATTTTGATGTAGTCTCATTTGTTTAATTTTCCTTTGTTTCTCTTGCCCTAAGAGATGTATCAGCAAAAAGTCTACTAGATTTCACTGCCTATTTTTTCTTTTAGGATTTTTATGGTTTCCTGGGTTACATTTAAGTCCTTTATCCATTTTGAGTTTATTCTTTTAAAAAATATATTTTGTTGATTTTTTTACAGAGAGAAAGAGAGAGGGATAGAGAGTTAGAAACATCAATGAGAGAGAATCATGGACCAGCTGCCTCTTGCATACCCCCTACTGGGGATGTGCCTGCAACCAAGGTAGATGCCCTTGACCAGAATCGAACCTGGGACTTTTCAGTCCGTAAGCTGACGCTCTATCCACTGAGCCAAACCAGTTTCAGCTTGAGTTTATTCTTGTGTATGGTGTAAGTTGATGGTCCAGTTTTACTTTTTTGCATGTGTTTGTTCAGTTTTCCCAGCACCATTTCTTGAAGAGACTATCTTTACTCCATTGTATGGTCTTCCCTCATTTGTTAAATATTAATTGACAGTAATGGTGTGGGTCAATTTCTGGGGTGTCTGTTCTATTCCATTGGTCTATATGCCTCTTCTGTTGCCAGTACCAGGCTGTTTTGATTACATAAGTTGTTTTTATTCTGAATTGAAATTCCTTTAGCTAAAATTTCCCCTAAGGCATATTTTATTTTTATTTTTTTTGAAAATAAGTTTTATTGTGCAGTAATTTACATAAAATAAAATAGACTAATTTTTTTTAAAACATTTTGATGAGTTTTGACAGATTTATGTAAGTATCATCTGCTTGCGAAAGCTCCTTTGTGCTCTTTCCCATTCAAATTCCACTTCAGATCCTGTGAGGCTTATTTTTGTCTTTTAATAATTTTTTTATTTCTAAATTATAGTCGACATACAGTATTATTTTAGTTTCAGGTGTATAACCCTGTGAGTGGACATTTATACAACCTACAAAATGATCATCCTGATAAATCTAGTACCCATTTAAAACCATACATAATTATCACAATATTATTGACTATATTCCCTAGGCTGTCCTTCACATCCCCATGACTATTCTTTTTTTTTTTTTTAAATTGATTATGGTCTCACATAATTGTCCTTATTCCCCCATTCCCCTCCCTAAATATGCCTTAAACTTTGTGTAGTATGTCAAGTTAATTTGTTGCAATTCAGTTAATCATTGCCTTAATATTTTAAAATTAATTTTTATTTTTTAATCAATATTTTAAATAATATTACAGTAAACATCATTTAAGTTTTTTTTGTAGTGATTCCCAAAGATTGAATTTCTAAGCTAAAAAGTTATGAGCAAATTTTTTTTATGGCCCTGGATATGATTACCAAATGCTTTTAT